AACAGTACCACGTTGTGCTGATAAATCACAATTATTTTCCACTCCTCTATCTGTTACACTCGGTGAAGTATTATTGCCAGTCTTCTTTTTTTTTTTTTTTTTTTTTTTTTTACATGGTACATGAGGTTTTAAAGTTTATAATTCAATTGTCATCTTGACAACCAAGTGGCTCGGGATTTATTTGTTTTTGTGCCAGAATCAATAAAAGATATTATTAAAAGTAAATATCTTCATAAAACGAATTTCCTTACTTGTGTGTTTAACCACGGTGGAGGGCTCTGCGCATTTCACATTCTATTTAACCATCAGTATGGGGGGGGTACAAGAGTGGGGCAGGGAGCTCCTATCTCTTTGCACGCTCCGGGAGCGAGGCAGTCTCTACCAGCACGAAGGGTCGGGACTGGGAGAGAGCAGGCAGAGGGGGGCTGCCGCCGTCAGGGCTGGGGCTGGGGCTGGGACTGGGGCTGGGGCTGCTCCTCCTCATACGTCCCCACGTCCCCACGTCCTCGCTCCTCACGCGGGCTCAGCGCCGAGATGAGCTACGAGTGCAGAGGGAGCAGAAAGGAGTCGTCAGCATCGCTCGCAAGAGATCCAAGGCACTCAGATTTTGTGTTTTAAACCAAATGAGAATAGGAATTTACCTCTCAGTTACCGGTGGCGGAGGGCTGGGCTTCGAGTAAAGGCCTGTTCCTAAGCGGTACTCTGTCCAATCGACACGTTTATTCTTTTAAGACAGAAATCTAGCTAACATGACGCCTCTTCAGTGCTATCGGTCCTGTCCGCAGAAGGTTACCCAGAGCGCGCATTCCTTCACACGTCACAAAACAAAACTGTACATGATATGTATTACAGGATGTATGCAGCATGGTCGGTTCTGTTTGCTCTTGTTTTTGTTTTGTTTCGATTTTCTCTTTTCCTCTTTTTTTTCTTTTTTTTCTTTTTTTTTTTTTTCTTTTTTTTTTTTTTTTCCCAAACGGAACTGGAAACAGCGACATGTTTGCTCAGCAACTAATCAGGGACAATTTAAAAAATAGCCATAACATACCATACATGCTGTCTAATTCAAAATAAAAAATAAAACAAAAACAAAAACATACACAACATGTAAATTATTGCACAAGAGAAAGGCTCAAAGTTTGCGTAAAATGCAATAGTATTGCCCCGATACAGATCATGCATTCAAACGGTGAGAACAAAAAGAAAATAAACAGGTGTGCTGGTGACAAGCACTTTCCAAATTTCCTTAGCTTCCATTAGTTTAATCACAAGGGACTAAAAAACCTCTACAGGGAGCCGGGGCAGGGACGGGGAGTATTAATATACCTCTATTCAGTTTTTATCTCATTATTCAAGACTCGATCACTGTGCCATTTTTTCATGTGTTTCTCCAGGGTACTGTACACGCTAAAAGGCATCTTACAAATCTCGCATTTGTAAACGTCCTTTCCCACCTGACCATGTGTTTTCATGTGCCGAGTGAGCTTGCTACTCTGGGCGCAGGCGTAGTTGCAAAGCTCACACTTATAGGGCCGCTCGCCCGTGTGGCTCCGTCTGTGGACAGTGAGATTACTACAGTTCTTGAAGACTTTCCCACAGTACTCACAAGTGTCGCTGCGTCTGCCCTCTTTTGAGCTGGGCCTGCCTGGGCCCGGGCCACTAATATGCGGGGTGCTCCCTCCACTTCCCGTGCCGCTTCGGCCCGAGATGCCACCATCCAGCTCTCCCGGCGGCGTGGAGAAGCGCAGGCTGCCATTCTCTGATGAGTGCTCAGAGGAGGAGGCGAAGGGCGATTGTCGGGAGTCACCGAAGCTGAGGAAGGGGTCCTTCAGCTGCCGCGAGGCAGCGTATCCAGCCAGCCACTGCGAGTACACATTTTCGGTGTTGGGCATGGCGGCGGTGGGTAGGTCGAACTCCTTCTCCAGCTTGATGCGTTTGGAGAAGGGGCTCAGGGAGCTGGGACTACCTAGCAGCAGCTTTTTGGACAGGCCGCCTGAGGCAGACTCCCCAGGGGAGCAGCCCCGGCCGTTGACCGCCCCGTCGTCAATGCGGTCGGACTCACCAGCCACCGAGTCTTCATCGCAAGTGTCCCTGTGTACCTCGGCCTCGGAGAGGTGGCCCCGTTTGTGCTTCTCCCCCAGCACCTGGTGGAAGGCCTCGCTGAAGTGCTGCATGGAGCTGAGAACCATACCTTGCATGACATCTGGCATCGACCGGCTCTCCTCTCCGGCCCGCGAGTTGTTCTCATGGTGGTGGGCCGCCTCCAGGTTCATCCCAAAGCCATAATCTGGCCTCTCATTCTCGGTCAAGTCCTCCTCTTCTTCCTCCTCCTCTTCCTCCTCCTCCTCCTCCTCTTCCTCTTCCTCCTCATCTCCATTCTCGGGGATCATGTTGGGGTCATTCTCACTCTTGAACTTGGCCACCACTGACTTGAGGGCACTGCTGGCACTGCCGACCAGGTCGCTGGTGCTGGGCTCAGGGGAGCTGGCAGTGGAGAGCCCATCATCAGACTTCACTGTCATGGGTGATGACTTGTGCATGTGTGTCTTCATGTGGCGCTTCAGTTTGCTGGCCTGAGTGCAGGCATGGTCGCACAGGTTGCACTTGTAGGGTTTCTCCCCAGTGTGGCTCCTGCGGTGGACCACCAAGTTGCTCTGGAACTTGAAGGTCTTCCCACAGAACTCGCAGGACTTGGACTTCATGGGTGGCTGGGAGGGAGGAGGAGCGGACTGCAGAGGAGGAAGAGGTGGTGTGGCCAAGAACGGGGGTTTGCTGCCAGGCTGGAAGGGCTGCAGCAGCCTTTGCATAGGGCTGGGCCGGCTCGGGGACAGGGGCGGACTGGAGGTGTTGCCGGCCAGCTCCCGCAGCCGCCGGGAGAAATCCATAGCAGGGGGCTCCATTGCCATGGGGTTCAGTCGCAGCACCCTGTCAAAGGCACTAGGGTGATGGGTGGCCAGAGCCATTTCTTCGGCACCCAGGCGCTCTATGCGATGCGGATCCAAATGGTGCCTCGGGGGAGGGCTAAAGAGGGGCGGCGTGGGTGGGAATCGCCCTTCTCCCAGCCCTGACGCCTCTCTCGAGACAGAGCCAGGTATTCTGAGCAGGTTAAAAGGGTTATTGTCTGCAATGTGAATCCCATGGAGAGGTGGCTGGGAAGGGCACTCTGCACCTAGTCCTGATGGGATACCAACCCGTGGTGTCAGGGGGCTGCCATGCTCGCTTTCTAGGTAGATCCGTAAGCCGTGCGTGTTCTGTGCGTGCTGCAAGAGGAACCAGGCGCTGTTGAAAGGTTGTTTACAGGTCGTGCATGTGTAGCTGCTGGGCTCTTCTTTACCTGCAAAACAACACAACAGCAGCGTAAATGTTTAATCGCATCTACGCTTGAGCTGTCCTACCACACAAGGCCACAGCCAAGTGGGGAGAGGGGAGCATTCAGGGCTGGAGGAAGCTCCACTCCACTTCCCAGCTCAGAACTGAACTCAGAACTGTGGAATAGGGCCCAGACCAGGGAGAAAGTTGCATACAAACAGGGAGTGGGCTGGAGCACTGCAGATGGGCTCAGGCTGGTGAACGGCATGGCAGCAGGGAGCAAGCACACTGTACGTGGACATTTATTTTGGGAGATAACATGGGCATTACAAAGGAGTGATCAACTAATAAATAATCAAACAAAAAGCAAGCTAATAATGGCATAAGAAAGCAATCCCTGATGATATTAAAAAGCAAGAGAAATCAATAACTTTTTGAGGGCATAAGGGAAGAGCAGTGGGAGATAGGGAGACAATGAGCACGTTTCCATCAGTCCTGGTAAGTTTGTGCATAAGCAACTTCCATCTCCGTATGCAATTGTTGCTCAATGCTGGTAACTTGCAACAAGAGCTAAGATGAGCACAAAAAATAATTTCCAGTCCTGCCTAGCTGTTCTATAGAGATGCTATTTCAGTGATTTAGGAAAAAAAAAAATTAAAAAAAAAAAAACACCCCTGAGATTTGCCAAGTACAAACAACAAAAATACCCCCAGGGTCTTCCCAAGCAAGCTGTGCCCAGGGGACACCCAGCTTCAGCCAAACCTCTGCAGGTAAATCTCAGCATGAGACAATGTGAGAGATACCCAAATAAGGTTTAACACAATTGCCTAGTATGAAGAAATGGGAATTAAAGGAAAGAGGGAAAAAAAAAAAGCAAATATGGAAAGAAAACATAATTTTATCCACAACCGTCTTGTTTCTCATCTCCGCTGAGGAGAACAGCTTCATCCAGATGTCATACAATGAGCTGAATGGTGAGATGGGAACAGCAGGGAGGCAACCAGCAGCACCACCAGCAGAGAAATGCTGCAGCCACCCGCTTCCTCCATCATTACACATTTGGCCTGACAATCTGAATTGGGTGAGTAAAACACACCTTGGCCATCTCCAGCAGGCATTTAACACTTTAAGCCACTTTAAAAGCTCTTGGAATAATATTTGACATCTCGTCCTTCAACTGCAGCCAGCGTTCAAATAAAATGCATCGCAGTGCTTGCTATGTGCCAGGCATGCGAGTGCAGATAAATACTTAAATCTGTTGAAATTAGAACAAAATTCAATTGGGCTTTCACATACACTCTGCTCATTTGTGAGCTCAGGAAGAAAGGAAGAAAGGAAGAAAAAGGAAGAAAGGAAGAAAGGAAGAAAGGAGGAAAGGAGGAAAGGAAGGAAGAAAGCAGGAAAGCAGGAAAGCAGGAAAGCAGGAAAGCAAGAAGGAAAGAAGGAAAGAAGGAAAGAAGGAAAGAAGGAAAGAAAGAAGGAAGGAAGGAAGGAAGGAAGGAAGGAAGGAAGGAAGGAAGGAAGGAAGGAAGGAAGGAAGGAAGGAAGGAAATAAACATGAAAATTTCATCTTGCTTTGCTGTAACAAAGTGGAAGTTTTTCCTGACGCACTGTAAGTCGCACATCATGGCAACGCACTGACAAAGTAAGGCTACCTTGTTTCTCTATTTTATGAATTAGCACAGAGAAAATAGCATTTTATCTTATAATGAGGACACAACATACAGTGCTCGCTATCACATTTTAGTATTCCCATCAACTAGATATTCCAGATCATAAGGGCAGCTAGCATAATCATAATGTCAATGAGAAGGGCTGTTACGACTGAGACTAAAGATTACATGGAAAAAGCTGCTTTGAAACTAGTAATTATTACCAGTCCACTAATAGCAAATGATGCATTACAGTTTCACCATATAATCTGTATTTCACTCAGCTCCTGCCAGTACAGCCTTATTATATTACTGTGCTCACAAATTCTAAATTCCTAAACTACAGTCATCAATAAATGTGTTACTTGCCATAATTTGCAAAATTACTTTGTTCAAAACATCTTCGACTGTTATAAAGACTAGAATTGATTTCCTGCACAGTAAAATTAGGGCTACATTGATTTAGTGGAGTGTAAAATGTAATATTATTCTTCATTTGCTTTCCTGAAAAACAAGTTTTTAATTTGCCGTCCATGTTTGGTAATCAAGACAATAATTTAAATTTAAAATAATGTTTATGTACAAAACCTCCCTAATCTCAAACAACCGACCATTTTCGAAAGAGTGTCATAAAGCTGGGCAATAAAAGAAAGCAATGAAATGGTTAAAATCTGTGGTTTGCCTCCACCTCCTACTTTGAAGAGACACCATTTCTAATTTGTCTATTAGTGCTTGGTTAATTATGGAGGCTATGGACTGACCAGCTTAATACAGGCCTTGCCAATCGGTAAGATTTATGGAAATTGGTTGCTCATTACCGGCAAGCAGAGACATGAGCAACACAGAGGGTTTGGAGGCGTCTCACCTTCCCTTTATCCCAACCCATCATGCCTGGTTGTGCTCCTGTAGTAGCCCAGGCTGGAAGGGATCCAGTGGATGCTTTGTTTCATAGCTTGCCTCACCTTCCCCCAGGGCAGTGTGGTAGGACAAAACAGTTCTGCATTGCCACTAGGGTTTTCCAACAATTTCCAAGAGACTTACAGGAGTGTCCCAAACCTGGATGTGAAACAGGACGCCACTACCCCAGCCCATGGCTCCACCTCTATCCCTTCTCTCCTGTTATTTGCTTATTGGTGATCCACTGGAAAGCACCTTGGTATACACAGTTCCCCCCTCATAACCAAGGAAGCACACAGAAAACATGGCACATTGAGTTTTCTGAAAGAAAAAGCTTGAGCCCCTCCCAGTCCCTCTCCAAAATTTGTTTGTTTTCACAGCTTTTCACTCAGTGAGTGGAACAGGTGCTGGCACAGGCTGCCAGAGGAGATGAGGATGTCCCATCCCCAGATGCTCAAGGCAAACAGCAATTGGGGCTGATGGGCTTTAACGTCACTTCAAACTCAAGGTATCTATGATATCAAGGACTGTATCAAGCATTCTATGATAATTTTCTGTAGCTCCATGCAAGTGCAGACATCCACAAACACATGGGCTTACTCCCCATACAAAACTTCATCCTGAGACCACACATCTCCATCCTCCTGCCTATGCCATCAATACCACACAGCACTTACTCTTCCATCTCATGCAGAACCATGTCTAACACCTTGCAAAGTCTATTTCATCTGCATTTATCAACCAAGCTTGTCATCCTGAAGAATGAAATCAGGTTTATTTGACAAGATCTGTATTCCATAAATTTGAGTGGCATGTATTGTATTTTAGCTTTAATTCTTTATCAATTGAATTTCATGCCAGCTCCTCAATTATTTTCCCTGAGCATATAAGCAAAGCATTACTAGTGGTCTTCCAGTTACCCCGCCACACATGGACACTATTTTCCCAGTGTGTAACTTCATAAAGAACAAGCATCACTTGCCAACATTTAGGAATTCTTGGGTGCAAGTTTTCAGGGCTTTTTCATTTAAAAAATATTTATCTCCATTGGACCTCATATAAAATCCTCCTCAGCTACTAATGGTATAGAAAAAACGTCACCACATGCCTACGATACACAAATGTAATATTTCCAGCTCTTCAGCAGAAATATTGATCAAATACCACTACCTTGATGCTCCCTTTGCCTAAGCCCAGCTGTGAGCTCTCCAGGAACACCTATATTTACAGCACTCTTTTTGGCCAAGGTTGCCTTCTCCTTCCTGGTCAGATCAGAATAAAAGCAGCTTCCAGTTACCGTTTACAGTTCTTTGTGCACATTTTTCCTCCCAGAAAATCTTACTGACAATTTCCCTTACCTCTTGGGAACTGGCCCCGGGGGGAACACAGAAGCATGGTGCAGCCCCATTCCCCCTTTGCTTTTTGTGGTGGCATCAGTGCCAAGGATCTGGCTTGCAGGCTTGCACAAAACCCTCAGAACCACAGGAGGTGGTGTCCTGGATGTCATGCACAAATCCTGAACCAATACACTCCACCCCTCTTTTTCCCAACCCCATGGAGATTATACTGGGACACCCCGTGGCGAACAGGAATGCATGGCCACTAAGAGCCAGGCAGAAACCCAGTGGGTCTCACCAATGACTGCTCACCCATGACCACAGATGTACTCCTGTTGAGCACCCCAGCCCACAGACAGCCAGTGCTACCACACCACGTTTCTAAGGAGCACCATGTAGTACCTAAAATGCCTCTTGGAATAGATCCTACCTTCCACGGCCCCAACAGAAGTGAATTAAGTTGGAACACATGCGCAACAGATTTAGATTCCGATCTGAAAAACCGTTAACAAATGACTGGAATGGATACTGGCATTTGAGTGCCTTTCGGGGCAGTTGGCACAATTAGTTAATAAAACAGGAAGATATGCCCGCTCTCAGCATTCAGAGGTTTCTCTACATTACAAAAATAACATAGCTGATCCTTCCTCACCGTGCTCACAGAGTAACCCAGCAAGCTCCCGACACCTGGGCAAAGCACAAGGCTGCAGCCGTGCCCGCAGCACCAGCAGCCGTGCCAGACACAGGCTGGGGAAGGGACCAGCTGGGAGGAGAAGCTGTCAGTTAGATGCCACTGCTGGGAGTGAAACACATTCTGGAGCAAGGCGCCCAACTCCAACCATTGCCAAGTGAGTAATGGAATAATCTGCATGTGCGAGCCAGTGTGTTTTGGAAGAGCTTCCTCCATTTCTCAAAAGTCAGGGTTGGATCCAGAAAAGCTGCTCTCCGGACACACAGGCGCTTTGGAGAAGAGAAGTGGCAAAACAGCTACGCAGCATCACACCTTCGGGTGACTGCCTGGCTCTGCAGACCCTCTGTTTTCCTGTGCTTGCTTCAAGAAACACGCAGGGGTGCTGCCATACTGCAGGTCCCATGGGTGACTCGAGCACATGCCTGAGACCTTTTGCCATCAGACAGAG